CGAAGAAAAACTGTAAAATGTACCGAATTTTCTCTTTGTTCACTTCCATTTTTAACACGCTGTAAGTCACAACTGAATGCACCAAACAAAAACAGCAAAAGAATTTTTTTTACTGAGAAATGTCACCTCTCCAACGAGAATAATTTTCGAAATTGTTTGATCGATACTTTACGAGAAATCTATCAGTGCAGCCATCTACCGAAAAAAGAATCGATTTCTTTTTCCCCAAACTAATATATATATATATATATATATATATATATATATATATTATATATATATTATGATATTAGTATATATATATATATGTATATATGTATATATATATATATATATATCTATTTCATATATATTCTGTTAATTTCTTTTAAGGCGCTCTGGCATATGCTGAATTAGGTACGATGAATACATCGTCAGGTGCTGAATGGGCATATTTTATGGACGCTTTCGGACCAGCACCGGCATTTTTATTTTCATGGGTATCAACTTTAGTTTTAAAGCCATCGCAAATGGCCATAATTTGTCTCTCATTTGCACAGTATGCGGTTGAGGCATTCGTATCGGAATGTGATCCACCGATGTCGGTTGTTAAAATGGTGGCATTATTAGCTATTGGTAAGTTAATTATACACATAAAAACACACACACAAGCGCCAAATAATAATTTTATATAGATTTTTTTTAATATCTTCTTCCTCCCTTACGTTTTTCTTCTTTACCAGTGATGATATTGTTTGTAAATTGTTATAGTGTTAATTTGGGTATGGCAGTGCAAAATATATTTACGGCCGCTAAATTGGTGTCTGTGATAATTGTCATATGTGGCGGTGCCTGGAAATTAATTCAGGGCAATACACAACATCTATCGAGTGCATTTAATGGATCTACTCCCACCTTTGGGGCTATAGCAACGGCCTTCTATACAGGCCTTTGGGCCTACGATGGCTGGAATAATCTAAATTATGTGACCGAGGAGATAAAGAATCCAAGCAAAAATCTACCACGCTCTATTATAATTGGTATACCTTTGGTAACATTGTGTTACACTTTGATAAATATCTCCTATCTAGCGGCCATGTCCCCCACCGAAATGATTGAATCAGAGGCAGTAGCTGTAACATTCGGTAATCGTATATTGGGTGTTATGGCTTGGCTGATGCCATTAAGTGTTACCATCAGTACCTTTGGTAGTGCAAATGGTACCTTATTTGCAGCGGGCAGGTAATGAAAATATTACATACTTACGTATACTTATGCATATATTCAATTATTTATTTTACTCGTTATTAGAAAACAATGAAACCAAAAATAAATAAATATAGAAAGAATTTTACTGCTCATCGCCGGAGGATGAGGCAGACAGCCTTTGAGACGGAAACTCCTTCCAGTATCTATATATACATATTCTAAATCCATTCATCCATCCGTCCATCCGTTTTGTATGTATATGTGCTATATTGTCTTCTGAGACTCTAAAAGTGAAACTCAAACTCTTGAGGTAAACCGTCCGCACACAATAGCCATAAATGGACACAACACTTAAAACCCCAACTCCATAACTTGCTAACTAATATTACGCGCTTGCATATATTTTGATCATTTTTTTTCACTTGGAAAAAATCATTTATGGAGAACCAATGATATAATATGTATTAATCAAAATGTTTTCCGTCATTTTTTAAAACCTTTTCCCATCTTACTGGTAAAATGGCGATATCGGGTCAAAAGAATAATATTAGTTTGGCAGTGATCCAACCATCGATCCATTTTCGCACTGCTTCAGCATTCCAAAACCGCATGCCAGCCAGATCGCGCTAAAGCGGTCTGAAGAAGTGGTAATCAGAAGGAGTTATGTCTGCGTAATATGCTGGATGCGGTAAAACTTCTTTACGACTGCTGATCACTATTGCTGGCCTTTTTTACAGCAACACATCGCGCCATGTGAGCAAATGCCATCAGCAGACATCTCCTCTAACAATTTCATATGGTTTCAGCGGCTCGTAATACACTGCACCTTGCTGATCACATCATATGCACAGTAAAACTTAATTGTCATGAATATTGCAATTGCGGTATCGATGTTAATGCCTCTCCTGGACTAATCCATCACTTTCTTGCGCTTGACACTGTCACTGTAGAAAACTCTTCGTTTCTCGCTTGGCAAGCGATTCGAAATGATATTTTCAGTCAATCCGTGTGGTAGCCATTTTCTCCCGTTTTGTATCCTTTCCCATCGCTTGTAAGCATCTAGAAACAGTTGATTCACAACTACGCCGTTCGGAAATTCGCAGTAAATTTCCACAAATCAAATAACAAAGCTATATGAATACCGAAAACGCAGCGTTTGAGCTTTTCATGAATAGCGTCTGTCGGCTCTGAAGAACTCAATAATGGATTAAGTGAAAAATTGTTATTTTATGTAGAGAAAGGTCAAAATCATCGAATTTAAATGTTGCATACAATGATAATTCGCATTGCTATATATTTTCATTAAAAAATCCCTCTGATCAAAATACCTGCAAGTAGCTATTGAAAAACCTTAGACTTTTTATTGTTTTCTTTGACAAATTTCTTGTAAAAATGACGCCTGATAATAATGATAAAACAAACAGTGATATTCATATTGTGATTATGAAAAAAGTCTTTGATATTTGCTTCGAAATGAAAACATAACGTAGAAGGGAAAATATTAATATTTTGTTTTTAAGAAGCAGCCTTAGGCTACTATTGTAACAAACGGCTCATATATGTGTATTGTTACCTCAGGCGGTGGGCAATAAACATTGGCCCCTAAAGAAAATCTAGTTTCCTTAATCAATTATTTTATTAATAGATTGTGCTTTGCGGCTTCGCGTGAAGGTCACTTATTGGATATATTATCGTATGTCCATGTACGACGATTAACCCCAGCTCCAGGCTTGATTTTTCATGTAAGTATTTAATTAAAGTAATATACTATTCTTGTATTGGATAGGGTGTTTTTTTGGACAAAATTTCTTGGGACGGAACATAACAGATAGGAAGGTAGGAAGTATTCGAAGAAGCAATAAATCATATGAAAAAAAAAAAAAACAATAAAAAATAGCAATACCGAAGTCACTCTCGCAAGATTTCTTTAATTTAAAGGGCCCTGCGACCCCCTAGGTAGGAGCGGTACAAATTTGTATCTAAAAAAAAAAAAAATCTTTCAATGCACAGGAATGAATCTATTACCCCCCGTTACGAAATCATGATGAAACGACTAACTGCGTATAATTCTATAGCCGCCTTCATAATTGATATGAAAGCTTTTGATTTATTGGCAGAAATCTTAATACCTTTCAGATCGCTTCCCATATCGAGCCGATCAAGCTGAAAATGTTTTTAAATGAAAACAAGTAAAAACATTATAGCGAGTCATGGCTCACCATTTAATACCCTTAACCATTTTAATTAATCCAATTATTCATATAACTACCTGTCCAAAATAGGTCATTTTATGGGAAATGATCGAAAAAAGTGATCCAATCTTAGACATTTGCTATAGTGTTCGTCCGCGAATAAAGACAAAATTTTCAAATCACACAAATATCTCAAAAATTGCGATCTCTAGACTGAACACAAGACAACAAGATGGACAGACGGACAAGCAAGCTTTGATCATTTTGAAAATTGATTTAATCTCGTGTCCTTCTGAATTTTGCATACATACGTGTAAACTTAATATCATATGTGGTGTAGGGTATAACAAAAGCTTTTTCAACTTATCTGTTGGCATATTAGAGAGGTTAGAAATCAACATTTTCGTTTCTTCCCTTCTTTCTTCTTCCAATACCTTTTTTTCGAAGCGCTTGGGGCGATGCAAGAAATTGCATACTTAAAATTTCCTAAAAGTCTTTTTCTGTTTTTTTTTTTAGAAGTCTCAACTCAATTATCGATTCTGAAATGTTTACATAGATATTACGCCTAAGTTGAAACAATATAGGTAATGATCGGTTCACACATTCGAGAGAACACAATTTGAAAATTTGTTTTGCCTTAAAAGATAAGCTCGCGTATCCACACATTTCTGAAATTTGAAAACTTTTCGCTATTCTATTACCGATGAGGTAGATAAATTCATTTATGAGCAAAGCATTGTTTGGTTGGTAGCTTACGCCTATGTGCATTATCTAGAATGGCTCCCACATTCACCTTGCCCTCATGTCCTTTCAAGCCGTAGTTGGCCTCCTATTTCGATTCTCTTCATTCCTTTATAGCATTTTAAGTTGTGTTAATCTCTTACGATGAACTTTTAGATGTGAACTGCATACGTCACGCGAGACATCATTTCCACAATCGCTGTGTTTTAAAAGAAAACAAATCGCATTCGGTATCTTTACCGTACATATATACAAATTATTAGATATTGATAAATAAAATTTCAAAGATCGAATTTTATTTTCTATTCCAGTCTCTTATTGCTGCCGCCATGGTCTTATACGGTACCATAGATTCTTTAATTGATTTCTTTAGTTTTACTGCCTGGATATTCTATGGTGGTTCCATGTTGGCTCTAATTGTAATGCGCTATACCAAACCCAACTATCCACGGCCCTACAAAGTGCCAATTATCATTCCAATTGTGGTTCTGGTAATCTCGTTGTATCTGGTAGTAGCACCCATTATTGATACACCGCGTATTGAATATTTGTATGCCTGTCTTTTTATTCTTGCTGGCTTAATATTTTATATACCATTTGTTAAAATGGGCATGACACCAAGATTTATGAGTAAGTTTCAAATAAATTATTTAAAAAACAAAGAAAAAAAATAAAAAAATAGAATTGCAAATTAATGAAGTTATTCTTTAGATAAAGTTACTTTATTTCTTCAATTACTATTGGAAGTGGTGCCCACCTCAAGTATGGCCATGTTTGAATAAACGTATAACTGTTTAAAACCATATTATTTTATTAATTATTCCTGACACAAATATTCAACAGCAATGGAAACTGTGAAAGTAATAATGAAATGAACAGCAACATTCAAATTTAAATAGATATTAGTACTATATATATATACATACTGTATATACGTATATATACATATTTAAAGTTTAAAGTAGATTTAAAAAAACAACCTTAAACTTGTTGTGTTACGTAGCCGAGACGCTTAAAATAATAATATATATAATAATATATATGGATATGAATATGTATATATATATATATATATATATATATGTATACATATATATATATATATATGTATATATACATACGTACATATACTTGCATTAATATGCATACATATGTGTACCTACCATATATATTGTATATCAACCTATATAATTTAAAAAACTTAATCTGTTTGTTTTTCTATTTAGAGACACAAAATTTTATAAATTTATTTTTTATATTTTATAAACTTTTAAATGAAATATGACGTAAACATTGTCTTAAAAATTTAATTAAAGTTATCTATCATTTAAAGGATACTATTAATAAAAATTCTAGTTACAACAGCAATAACGTGCACACTTTACTGCGTCATTTATTTAAATTTTTTTTTAATTTAAGACAATTGAGTGAGTATGTGCATCGTTAATCGAAACTACTTGGGCACTTATGGGTAATGAATGTATTTATCTGCAATGGTAACTCCTGCAAAAGTAAATTTCTTCGCGCCCCAAATGGCCATCATGGTGGATCTACTATTCATCGCCAGTACAAAAAAAACTCTGCCTTCAAAATTTTTGAATCGTCATATCACTCGCCACAAACCGCTATTTGATATCCATTTCATTTGGCTTGAATTCAATTTGTAGTATACGAAACATCCCTGCTTTTAAATCACTTTTATCAAACTTTAGATAATTGTTTTTATTTTAAGATATTAATTCTTGATTGTTGAGTTTCTTCTATAGTTTTTTTTGATATTTAATAAATCGAACAACTTTTCAATTTTCCTATTCAAAATTGTAAATTTAAAAAATCGTCAAAAAAAAATATTATGGAAATGTCGTCATAGATTGGCATATACTTTGATCTAGTTTCGTAGAATTAGAGTACTTGTTATTGACCATATCCCGGTTTTTGGGTAGGCGCCGGGCTATTATAGGTGTTATTGTTTCACAGATGCATTATAATTTCGTTTTATTTGTCCGTTAATTTATTGAATATATCGTTTAAGCACCATCACTAGCACGATAGGAAAAACATACGGTAGAAAAAATTACTCATTATTTTCAAATATTAATACTTAGCTTAGTAGCATTAAAAACGACAATAGTTTTGGAGCTTTAGTTTAAATAAATATGGAAATAACTCTAGCGCTTATAAAACCTCACGTTATGCGTAACACAATAGCTTTTGCAGCGATAAAGCAATTGATAAAGGATAATTTCACTATTTTGGATTCCAAAGAGGTGTACATCACTAAAGGATTATCGGAATTGTTTTATGCAGAGCATAAAGGGAAATTTTTCTACAATCGTTTAACAACATTCATGGCAAGGTAATTAAAAGAAAACATAAACTGAGATTTTTCAAAATATCACAAATAAATTTTTCTTTTTAATTCAGTGGCCCATGTTATGCTTTAATTTTGCAATCTAAAGACTGTATAGCGAAATGGCGTGCTTTAATGGGCCCCACTAAGGTCTTTAAAGCTGTTCATGCACACCCCGGTTGTATACGAGCACTTTACGGTCTCTCCGACACTCGAAATGCCTGTCATGGTTCAGACAGTAAAACTGCAGCATTAAAAGAAATCGCGATATTATTTCCGGATTTCATAAGAGATAATGTTTCCGAGAACAGCTGATAGCAAAGAAATGAACTTGTTTTCTTGTAGTCGTCTTCCGCTTGGGATTATATTAACGTAATACGTCACTTTCAATGTCATCAAATACTCATGCTTTAATCAACGGAAGATTGAAAGGCGATATTATTTCTTCATGGCGTTTTGACATGATACCGTTACTAAGGCCATTGCTAAGCGTCCATTAAATGTGTTAGGAAAAAATCTCTTTTGCTACATAACACAATAGATTGTTACGTGACAAAATTGTCGATTTTACAAAAAGTGACATTTCAAAAATCGCGATGAATAATTTTTTTTAAACAAGGTACTGAAAACAAGTACAAAAGTTCTATTCGTTCTGAAGTGAATTTCGGTCTCCTAAAATCTTAGACCAGTAAAAAAGGTTTTGGTATTTATAGTTGGTGGCGCGTCAATTCGTTGGACATTAAATTTTCCACATATATGGTTGTAATAAATATTAGCTATACATTATAAGCTGCACTTTTCTTTCCAATATGAAAGAGAAAATGAAGGATGATCTCGCTCATAATTTGGGCCTCGAATTAACAATTTTTGTGACCGCAATCGTGTTAACAACAGAAGGCAGGCGAGCAAGCACGACTAGAAGGTCTTATTTTAGGGAGCTTTTGATGTGTTCGTATATATAAGTGGGAGTGCAGATTCAAGTCTTCCTCACCTTTTAATGAGGGGTGAATGCAAATGAAAGGTTTTTTATATTCGTTTTTAAAAGCTGAAAAAAAGCACAACTTTCGCGCTTTGCACCTATTAATTGTCAACACTACACACGGTACAGACTGAAATAAAGAAGTATCATCTGTACGAAAATACAAAAAGAGGGAAACAACACCTCTATAAGTACGTATTTTAGCTTACAAATTTTATTGATATTGTTAAATAAAATAAGTTATGTTATTAAATAAATTTTTAAATACGTCTATTAAGAAATCTCTACTGTTTAATTTATCAGTGAGAAACGGTTTAAGATATTTGGCCGGTGTTTCCATTGATAAGTTCGATCATTTAGATTTTTGTGATGAAAAATTGCAAAAATATTTAGAGTTTTTACGCAAGGAATTCTATAATTTACGTGCTAATGCCTCAAGCAATCGGGACTACCGGCGAATTGCTCAACTATCGGATGTTGTAAAAGCATTAGAGCAACATCGCGTTGTCAAAGGAAATATGATATCAAAAGAAGAAGTAGCAGCTGAAAAGGATGAAGATATGAAGGAGTTGATGGAAGAAGAAAATAAGGTGTACGGGGAATTACTAAAAAAGACCGAAGCGGAATTATTAAACCAATTGTATTTAATGGCGGACGGTGAGAACTACGAATCTGTAATATTTGAAATTACAGCTGGTGCTGGAGGTCAAGAGGCTATGCTGTTTGCTAAAGAGTTACTTAACATGTATACTAATTATTTTGATAAACACGGTTGGGATTATGAAATTTTAATAGAAGATTCATCAGATATTGGTGGCCTGAGGCATGCTAATGTGACGATAAACGATGCAGAGGCCTTCAGAAGTTTACGTTACGAGGCAGGCGTTCATCGTGTGCAAAGAATACCGAGCACTGAGAAATACGGGCGCGTGCATACTAGTACCGCTTCGGTAGCAGTTATACCTAGGCCGGCCGATATTGCGATACGTTTATTAGAACACGAATTAAAAATTGAAACTAAGCGTTCTAGTGGTGCTGGTGGTCAGCATGTGAATACCACCGACTCTGCCGTGAGGATAGTTCATTTACCTTCTGGTGTAGCTGTCGAAAGTCAAAGTGAGCGTTCACAAATTAAAAATAAGGAGATCGCCTTAAAAAGGCTTCAGTCCAAGTTAATACAAATAGAAATGGAATCTGCAGAAGCTTCTGTAAAAGGTACTCGCAAAGCTCAATTGGGCAATTTAGAACGCAATGAAAAAATACGTACATACAATTTCCCGCAAGATCGCATAACGGATCATCGCATAAGAGATGGTACCTTATACAACCTTAAAGAGTTCTTACAAGGAGGAGAAAATCTCCACAATCTCATTAGAAAACTGGCCATAGAAAATCGCAGAAAAAAATTTCAAGAAATGATTGATAATTTTCAAGATTCCACTACAGAGCTAGTAAATAAAGAAAAAAGTTAATTCTTAGTAAACTGCGGTCCGCATGTATATTTATTTAGCAATATTACTCCAATCCCCTACTGAACCCATTTGCATTAAATGTTTACGTACAGTCTTCTCCATAACAGCTTTTATTTTACGACAACCATTCAAAGCATGTTCCAACACCTTAGGCAGATGTTCCAAATGAAACCGTTGGGACATTTCCATAAAAGCTATTTTATTAGAGAGAGGTAGTGAGGCAACGGTTAAAGTTGGTCCACCGGAAACTTCTTCGAAATGTGATACATCCATTAAGGGAACATTGTTTTTGCTTAATGATGCAGTGCAGGCTACAACATATTCCTTTAAGCAAATCCCGGCGTCAACCAAGGCTAGAGTGGCAGCATTTAAAGCCACGGCATAATTAGCGCCGTCCGCTTGCAGAACTTCAACGTAAACATCTATTTGGGATCGAGGATATAGCTCTGTTCTTATAGCTGCTTTCAATGATTGCCTCAAATAAAGGGTAATCTCCTGTGATTTACGATCACCTCTGGGACGTTTTTTACGTTCAGCAGTTGAAAATGTAGCCATACTATACTGGCAATTAATTACAACCTCGTTAAAGTCCACTCTCTTACTTTGAGCTTGATGAGGGCCATAAACAGCAGCCAACACCTTAGTGTTACCTTGCTCCAAATAGGCACTACCATCGGGTTGTTCAAATACGCCCAATTTACATTTAATATGACGCAATTCGTTCGGCCGTCTACCGTCCAGTCGTAAGCCTTGGTCGCTCAATAATTCCAAATTAGACATTTTAGCGTCGTTGTGCTCAAAAGGAGAGTATGTTTAGTGAAATAATGTCATAGCAACAAAATACACATTGTACTACTTTTACAGCAATAACATAAAAATAGTGGCTTTTTGACACACTTATACACATTATTATGTTGGTGCGATAAATTACAACACTAAATTTGTTACTCGCTGACGTATATTAAACACATTTAGAATTGTGAGCTGGACAACTTCATAATTAAAACAAAAAAAATGAACAAACGGATCACCCTGAATGCCATAGTTTACATGTTTATCTAATTTCGCCTTATTTATAATGCGATACATAGATATTGACAGTCATGTTATATGTATTACTATAAAATATAATATATAGATCATATATAGGTATCGAATAAGAAGGTAGTACAGCTTTCTTCTTTCAGAAGAATGAAAAATGTTCCTTTTTTAATTATTCTACATTTTTAACGTGAGTGAAAATAAAATCGTATCTTAAAAGAGACTTTTGGCCGGCACGACCATTGGTTTTATTTACTTAATCGATGAAAACAAATGAGGCACTCTTGATAAGTTAGAGTCTTGTTTTACTTATATGGCGATTTTCAACTTTTCTAATGTATATATTAAATTAGATATGCACCGTTTTTATCAATATAATATTTTTCCAAAATTATCGTCTTTTAATTGTTAAATATTTACTTAGTAGCCTCCTCGAACTACTTGAATATTATTATTTCATTACTTTTCCATGGGAATTTCTAACAATATTGATGAAATAAGTTACTTTTTGACTGCAATCCCCTTAAATCATCGCGATGAGGTAAATACATAATAAAAGTGATTGCGGCCGTTCTATTCTATTCATTCCCAATGTTAAAATTAGGTGCATGCACGCGGTTCTTAAGGCAGAGGTGTAATCAAAATTGAAATTTTTATGGTTCATTTTACATTTTAAGAAACGTCGCAAGAGTGAAGTCGGTACACGCTTGTGTTGTTAGTATTGATTTTCATTCGTTGATGTGTTTTGTAGTAAATAAAGTGAAATTTTATAAGTTTCTGGCATTTCTTAAAGTAATTCATACAAAAATGGTCGGTTTCCCAGTAGACATAACTGAATAATTAATAATTTTTTTAAAAAATTTAAAATTTTCTTATATATAGGCTTCAACAAGTTCAAGTGCAGTGGGAATGTTGGAAGAACGACGTATATGGGTTGGAAATTTAGATCCACGAATAAGCGAGTAAGTTGATAAAGGATTTTATAAAAAATTATAATACATTTTTTTAATTGTAAATGGAATAAAAAGCTTATTTGTATAATTCTGCTTTTTTTTACAAATTATTGGTATCAACTCTTGAAAATTGTGCAAAAATGCGGTCCTATTGAAAAGTTTGATATGCTCTTTCACAAAGGAGGCCCTATGGCGGGTCAATCGAGGGGCTATGCATTTGTTACCTTTAGTTCAGTATGTTACATTTATGAGAAAATCATTGCATTTTGTTAAATTGTTTACTTCGTTTCTTTATTATGAATAAGAGCGAGGGCGCTGCAACGGCCTTGGACAAATTAAATGGTAAACCTGTACTTAATCGTCCGATTGCTATTAGGTTAGCAAAAAATGTAAATTATGTGAGTACTCTCAGTGTCATTATGAATGAATTCAATATATATTTAAAGGATTCTTTGTTTTGAAAACTTAAGGACGAGCTGGAGCGTCCGAAACCAAAAATAAAAATTCCCGCATTAGGTACGGGGAAACGCGAGGGGAAAATTAGTAAAGAAGAGGCGATTAGGGCCATTGAGCAAAAGCTGAAAATATTGGAAAATCATGCTGATGACGATTTAGAATTGGACCAAATCGGCAGCAGCGGTGGGCCACAAGTTCCGCTTATACAAAAGTATCAATTCAACAAAGATCGTGATAGCAGCACAAATATGGCTATTCAGAGACGTCATTACCATCATAAATTGAATGCGGGACCGTATACAAGGCATCAAAGACCAAAAAGAAGATAAACATTTGTTTTATGTTGGATTGATTATACATACACAAATAGTTGTAAAACCATAGAATAATTTGAATTACCAAAAAATAAGAAAACTATATGTGAATTATTTATTTGATATAATAGGAGAAAGTTTTTATTTACTTAGGAGCAAATATGTGTTTGCCACGCAAATGATCGGGTAAAGGTACGGTACCGGGACAAGGAACTTGGCCAGGTATTTCGCATATACAATGACGATTGCAACCGTAACCGAAATTGGCTGGGTTGTCTTTGCTCTCCGCCATTCTGGTTTCGGCGTCCAACTGTTTTCTACAGAAAATTTATTTAGATGAGCTTTTCACTTGGCTGTATAACTAAGGACTTACTTTGTTTTCCCCAAAACTTTCAATAGATGGTCCATAATTTCGTGACGATCTTTGCTGTCAATATCAACTAACATATCCCGTCCATCATCAAAGTAACAACGTATGAAGGGCGAAGGTGACATATTTTTAAAAGTAATTACCTGAACATCAGGATTTTTAAATTGCACTTGCGATATATTCCAAAAAACAAAGTCCCTGCATATAAAATCAAATTAGCATATGTGAAGCATTTCGAATGTTTTCGTAACAAGATTAACCTCGCTCCGGCATGATGTTCGCCATATGTATTATAATTGACGCTAAATATTCTCACTTTATCTTTTAAAATCAGCCGGCCAGCGTTTAAATATTCTAAAGTACGCCGTACAGGCGCTCTACCTTTCATGAACGGCATTTTGTTAGAGTTTTTTTTTTCTGCTGAAATAATTTCTTAAAAAACTAACTGTAGTATTAGCAATCAAATCACAGCTGGCGGTTTTCTTCTTCTAGCAGCTGTTGTTAGGAATATGCTTAATCCTTTTAATTATTGTTCGTAACTCAAATGATTTTTGCATTAATAAGAAGCAGATGTTTATATAAATTATAGTTCTAAGGCTTTTTGTTTATAGAATTGTCTAAAGCGGAGAATTAAAAAAAAAAATTTTGGAAAATGTAAGTTTCGATAATCATCCGACTGTTCTTTTATTTTAGCAATTGTATTAAAGGTCTTATTTACAAATTAATGAGTTTTCCTTTGAATACTAAGTTTTGGTAATCGAGGAATAAGAAGAAGATTTCTGTTTTGTATGAGGTTTGGAGATTGAATAGAAGTCTGTAATTATTTCTCTGTAAAAATACATAACTAAAGCTTGTATTTTGCTTTAATAGAACTTTTTTGAAACAGGGTTTAAGTATTAAATATTGGCAGAGAGAGAGAGAGAGAGAGAGAGAAAGGAAGAGAAAAAGTTGTTACATTTTATTATTATTAATTATTATTAATATACCCAGAGAATAAATTTTAAGTACTTAAGCATTTAAGGCTATTGTCCTTACTACTAGTACTATCTGCTCGCACTTGAAGATTTGAACCCACTACCATTGAGTTGTTAGTTGAGACGCTTTGCTGAATCGGCCAATCAGGCGGATAGTTGTTATATTTTAAAACACATTTTTGGAAATGATATCAAGTGCATGAAAGACAGCATTGAGTTATTGTATTTGTCGTTAAGAACATATAATCTTTACTAACTGTGGTAAAGTGGAAAAAAATTGCAAACGAAAAATTATGAATTTTCGAAGCTTATGTAAACAACATTCTTAAGGGGATTTGCTTATTTGTGTTAAAACAAATCTTTCACAAATTTTAATCTGTATCCTTAACAATATTATCTATCGACATTCCCAGGAGAGATTTTGACAATTTGAACTATAAGCTGCTTTAGAACATTTTCTCATTTGTGTCTCAGCGAAAAAATGGATCCATTACAACTTGTAACGTGAATTAAAAAAGATAAGAGTGCATCGATCGGCTCACTTACATTATACCCTGTGTAGTATTTAAAGTTGGTACGAAAGGTGTTGACCGGTAGGGGCTATTTTTGAAACCCCTCTCATATAACGAAAACTACTATACTATTATACTCGACGTATTTTTTAGATTCTATCCTAATAATGATTTTCACGAAAATTGATTCTTTGTAAAGCAGAAAAGTGTGTTATGAAAATTCACCCATGACAATAATTTCTCTCTAGAAAACTCTAGAAAATTTGGATCACCTATGCCTATTTTTGGGCCCGGTCTTATCTAAGAATTAAACTTGTACTACATTAAGTTGCGTTTTGGAGCCGCTTCCCCAGAAATACGCACATGATGAATATGCCTTTATACAGAAACAGGATATAATTTTTTTGTTCTATAATAAAGATAAGAATTATGTTAGACAATGTTGTGTAGGGTATTTAATAGTCGGCCTTGCCTGACTATAATGTTCTTGAACTATGTCCCCTGGAAACCCTGCTGCTATCAAGGAGTTGAAACGAGAAGAATGCCGCTCAGGTGGTTACTCACTGACTATACTTCGTCGATTTGGCGTCGATAGCCAATAGCCTTCTCGAGCAATTGCTTAATTTTTTGGACGTATCGCCATATCTTGTGGCGTAAGAAAATTGTTTGTTTATTTATTTTCCTATTTTCGCTTCAGCGGAAGTTTTGTTGTGTTACAGAACTCGCACAACTAGTTGCGACATGTTACGGATACGATTAAACTATTCTAAGGTATAATACTCATGGAGCTGTATGTACTTGTTTGATCTGAAAATTTTTTTTATAATAGACATAATACAGACGGACAGACAGCCAGACGGACACAAATTTTAATGCTGATCAGGAATACGTATACTTTGTGGGATCTCTGAAGCTTCCTTCTGGGCGTCGAAAAATCTTTTGACAAACGAATACAACCCTCAACGTTCGGTAATGGGTATAAAAATTATTTTTGGAAAATATTACAACAACAATTTTTAAATGATAGAGACAAAAATAAATATGGTGATCCGATGACTTATCCGAGATCCCGAATTACCTACGTATGTATATATCTCGTTGACGATTTTCGTATATGTGTTTTACTTTTACTTTACGCTGTGCTCATTATTGTACTTTTTGTCTCGGCTTACTTTCTATAATTCAAAAACTTTATGTTCCGGCCGTAAGTCCGAAAAGGCGACGAGACTGGCTGCGGTATGGACTCTAAAATTAACGCTTCGTCAAATCTCTTAGGCTTAGCTATCTTATCAGTTATTCAGGGAAAATGAGAAATCTAAGCTTCCTAAGCACTACTCGTGAAATCTAATAGTCGGAGCGCGGTGACTAACCTCAGCCCGGTGACCTCCTAATCTTAGTCCTTCTATCAAACAATCAGATGCAAGGATTAAGTTTTAGTTATCATATGCTATTATTTCTATGTGTAAGGATGTGCCTCCTCACAAGCTGGACGATAACGGTTTATTTTTTTGATATCGTTAGGTAAAGAATCGAAAAATTTTTATTTTTGTTATTTTCCCAAAATTTTTCTTGTCAGCAGCAATACGAGAAGAAATTGAGGGAAATTGATCTTAAACGTCTCTAAAAGTCACACGAACGCATTTTCAATTAAAGACGAACGAGTGCGGCATCTATTTTGCATGAAACGTTCTTGTCTCCAATGTTAAGTGCATAACCATACAGAATGTTTTCGCCTGCTGTTAGTTTATTCCTTTTCATTTTATGACGTCATATAATAGATCGATAATTTTTTCAATCGTTTCCGATATAGTCAAAACACACTTAAAAGTTCCGAACGAGGCTCATTGCTTGCAGTTGGTACAGTCGATCGCACACAAATTCAATCGACCAATAATGAATCACTTTTTCTTGGTAGGATTTGTCGAGACTTCCCCCACTTCCTTGTCGCGTTGTACGATTCAAAGTATGCGCGTTGTCCGCAATACCGCCCTCAATTATCTCTCTAGTGAAATGCAAAACCACCAAAGTTGTTGCCAGTCATCGAATTTGACATGTGATCGATCGTCTCAAACTTGGTTCTGTCTGACATGAAGCGAGTTTTTTTTCATCTACACTTTTAGTTACTGGCAAACACTAATGCACAAGACCTAGAGTTACAAATTTTATACACAGCACGATACGATATAATATTGCTTACGATCTCTCTTCCTCTCGGGCTCAAAGTTAACTATATATAGTGGATTGAGTAAATTACGTTAGTTATATCCTATATATTGTCTACGGTTTGCAATCGTAGTCTCAGATAGATTTGCTCACAATTGCGTTCAAAATGCACAAAAGATTGTATTGGTTGTATAAAGAAGCGTTCGAGAACTATGACTGATTCATTTGAAAGTACTCTTTTTCGTCTTCTTCCTCTTCTTCTGCGAGTCGATAAAAATGACGATTTATTGCGTTCAGTTAGAGTGTCATGCGAGAGAATTTAAAAGTACTAGACGCAACTGGCTACCCAACTCAACCATACAGTTCCTGGGGTCTCAGAACAGAGATGGATGGTTCTATGGGAAAAAAATACTATTTGTAGGAAAGTTTTCTTTTTCCGTTTATTTTGGGTATCCATAGGTCAAATAACAATGCTGCACAATATGCGAATGAGCCCTGACCCCTATCCCCGCAGTTGATCAGTTATCAGGCGTCGTATATTATCGTTTGTTCCAAGCAAATGAAATCGGCTGCTAAGAACAGCTGACGAAAGACGGGAGAAATATACGTACGATACTCTCTGAGGGAATATTTTACGGCTCTAATCTGGAATATTCTACCCTTCCCGCTATTATCAGTAGACATTTCTTCACCCGATCCAGTCGATGACTTATTCAATAGCCTCGAACCATACCAGCTATGCATTTCGTGTTTGTTTCATATTTTGCATTGAATATGACAGATGTAATGGCTATGGTTGGGGGAAATACGATGGTCAAGGTAACTAGTGTATCGTAACTCCCTTCACGGTTGGACTGTAAAACATTTAATAGATATTGGTTTCACACTTACAGAGCAAGAAATTGTCAAATGACGCACGTGAAAGGTAAAACAGAATTGTTTCGATCGATTAAGAGATTAAGAGATATATGCATGTGGTTTGCGATAGATAGTATTGGATGTGGATAGACTTTCATTTTTCTTATTAATTGGTTATTGGGAGGATGAGAAAGCTGATAAATAAATAGAGCAGAAATAATTTCTTTATATTTCTTGAAGCATTCACTCTGGCATGCTCTGGCATTCATGTAATACTGATTGTGCATACTTTAAGAGTCAATGGCAATCCATATCCAATAATTCGCAATATTTTTCAGTTGATATCTCTTTAACAATATTAAATTTAAATGTACATAACTACGTCTCTTGAGTATGCATGTGTATGTGAGAAAAGATGGATAGAAGGATGTAGACAGCCTAGCCGCTTGTATAAGGATATTAAGGCAAAACTAACGATCATGGTTATCACATTTATTTGGATAATTTCTTCAAATACATAAATCACCTGGTAAAACGAAGTGTCCGAACAAGAATTTATTTTACATATTTTTTCGGGTTTTATGCAATTTTTTTTGTTATCGTTATTGTTGTTGTTGCTGTTGTTGTTGCTATTGTTGTAAAAATGAACTCAAAAACTCTACCAAAAAATATAAAACGAATTATGTTTCATGTCTTGAGAATGCCATTATATGATATGTGTACATAGACCGCTCTTTGGAAAACCCTTACAGCAGTAACAAGTATTAGATATGCATGAATACATAGCACATACTCTATATATGTATGTGCGTATATATGTATACGTATATTATTATGTATATTTTCTTTTTTCTCGGACCAAGTGGCCATTAGTATTATGACTTGTACTTGACATGTGGTAAATGCATTTTGAGCAAACAGCCATTTATCTAATGTAATGACCAATGTTGCTGCTACTACTGCTGCTGCTGCTCAAACAGTACACAAGAAAGATATAACAGCATGACCATATAAATATGAGTGCGTACGTGTATGCATCTAAAATATTAAGATATTCAAGCATCCCAGTTACGTATGCATATAAATGTATAATAGAGTTTTTATACACGCGTTTATTTCTCTTTGTGTT